CCACTGTCCCCCCTGTGCCAGGGCACTCCTCCTGGGTGCCAGCAAGAACAGGAAACTGGGGCATGAGGATCTTCAATCAGGCCCCTCGGGAACCATCCAGGCCTCTGGAGATTTGTGCCGTATTCCTCCTGCTGCCACCTTGGAGCCTGGGCCCCACGTCAGTCCAGAAGGAGCCGGACACCTTCCTGGCCGTAAAGGAAGGGACATTTCAGGCTGCCCAGAGAAATCTCTGTGCATCTTGGGAAGAGGGGAAGTTCCCCCTTTAACATCATCCGACCGTGGGCTGCGCCATCTTGACAAAGCTCTCCCTCTCTCGCACTTCTCGCGTGTCCCTGCGCCTCTCTGAAGGAAACCACCGGCTGGGCCTTGGAGGCAGAACTGGGAGTGCTCCCAGCACTCTCCACGTTTGCTTTCAATCCAAGAAAAAGCCAGTCTCCGGGGCTGGGAACTCCTACCATCCCCCCTTCCTTTGCTTTTCCCCTCCCCCTCACTTTCGCCCACCCCCATCCCCCAACCCCAAGAGCTTCCAAAGTGACAACATGTGGGCCCAAATCAAACCCTTGTCCTCAGGCCCTTGCTGGCATGTGTCCCGGCTCGCCCACCTTCCTCCTCCAGCTCCGCAACTCGGCCACCCTCCTCACCCCTGCCCCCGCCATTCCTCTTTGTGGACAGCTTGCTAAATGCAGCCAAACTTCCCCTTTCAGTTCACAGGCTTCATAAAACAGCTGCAAAAAGTCAGCAGCTCTGCAAGTTCTCTTGCAAAGTTTGGCTGAGAGCAACATCCGCTGGTTCTAGTCATTGCTCCCCCCTCCTCCCCCAGACTCAGAAGGCCCATCTCCTCCTCCAGGAAACAGTGGGGAGACCAGATGCCCCTCCAGATCTGCTCACAGAGACACAATCTCCTCAGCAATCTAATCTAGAGAGAACTCCCCAAAAGGGGCCTGACTGAGTGTAGCCAGGGGAAAGAGACCGCCCGCATACTGGGCTGGTTTCCTGACCCTGCTCAAGTCCTCTGGGACCCTGGGTGTTCCACAAAGTCCCTCCAGCCACAGTCCTCTCATCTGGAGGACAAGGGATGGATGGATTGGTTGACCTTCAGGTCCCTTCCAAGTCTGAAATTCCACAAATTGGTAAATTTCTCCTTAGGGTCCCCAGGGACAGCAGACAGTAGGGACTGTGCCCAGGGACAAGCGTCTCATTGAGGGTGGTCTAACTCAAGCACAGGCTTCCTAAACTGCATCCCGTGTTCTCTCTGTGACACGCAGCCCGCAGTAAAAAAGAAGCACTCAGTCTCGATTCCTGATTGGACTCACCTGGGGAGACCGCACAGTATGCATCCCGGTCTACGTGCGTACATGCATGCTAAGTTGCTTCAGTCATGTCAGACTCTTCACGACCCTATGGATGGTATAGCCTGCCAGGCTCCTCTGTCCATCGGATTCTCCAGGAAAGAATACTGGAGTGGGTTGCCATGCCCTCCTCCAGGGGATCTTTCCTACCCAGGGATCAAACCCATGCCTCGTCTGCTGCTTTGGCACATGGGTCCTTTACCACTAGCACCACCTGGGAAGCCCATCCCAGGTTGAACTCCAGACCAAAGAAACTAGAGTCTCGGCTTGGGGCCTGCTCATCAGTCTGTTCGGGAAGTTACCTAGGTGATTCTGAATGAGCAGATAGGGTTCAGAAGCACTGTGGGAGAAGATTCTAGAAACTAAAGATGACGCTCTAAGCCCAAGGTGCCCCATCTGCCCCTTCTCTGCTGAGAAGGACTTGAGGCCAGTGGGATGAGCCCTGTGATGAGAGAGGCCTGTCTGTCATGAGGTGAGGGCATGCACCACGGGTGCCGTCAGACACTGAGGCTTGCTACCCCCACAACCCCGCAGGACACCTAGTACAAGACCAGCCTCTGGATGCTGGCTCCTTGGCCTTGCCTGCTCCCTAACAGGCCCCAAGGCCTCCTGAGCACCCCCAGGGGCAGATGGCCCCGAGGCTGCAGTGCAAGAACTGGCAACCCACTTCACAAGAGGCAGGAGGCCCCAGGGCAACTCCAGCCTCCTAGGGCTTTGTGCGGGTTAAGAAAAGAAAATAGAGAAGGGAAACTGAAACTGGGCTGAAGGCAGTGAAGGAGAAAAAGACAAGAGAAAGGGGAAGGACTCTGAGGTCAGAGAGTCATGTGAATGGCATTTAGGGAACAAAGCCCCCAGTGCTGTTCCCCTGTTCCCCCTTCATCAGTCTCCCCCTGGGCCTGGTAAGAAGCACTCTTCTGCTGGGGCCCTGGGCACAGACAGCACTGCTGCCCATACAGAAAGCCCAGGTCCAGAAACCTGCCAATTCTGAGTCTGCAGCCTGGTCCATCTGCCCTGTAGGCCGAGCTAGCAAGAGCCCTCCCCGCCCGGCACTCTCAGATTTCCACCGCCTCTGCCTTTCAGCAGCGGGATCTCTCATCACACACTGGCCATCAAACTTGACCATTCCTAGAGCAAAGCATAGGCTAAATCCCACTCCCAATATGCTTGGCACCATATCAGGGAGACCCAAGTGATGCTGTTGGCTAGCTGTGTGACCTTGAGCCAACCACCTCCCTTCCCTCCCTGGGTCTCAGTGCCTGGTCTTATCTGCTTTCCTGTGAAGACATGTTTGGAAGGAAGGGATGTCACTGTGCCCCAGAGGTCCAGTGCCTAGGCTCTGAGGACAGAGACCTGGGCTCGTGTCCCAGGCTCTGCCATTTACTAGAGTCATGAGCTCTGTGACCCTGTGTCCTCACCTGTAAGGTTAGAATTAATACATGGATAGCAGAAAAAGAGAAGAAAACACAGATCCAAACCAACATGGGACCAATATCTAAAATATACAAGGAACGCCCTTTGCAAATCAAAAGAAGAAAATGGCAACCGGAATAGAAAACTGGGCAAATGATATGAGCAGGCAATTAACAGAGCTGCAAGATCATACACAAAAGAAATACCTGTTAACATGTCAGAGAGGTTCTATCAGAGAGGACTGGGGCAATAGGGATGATTTTGCCCCCTCTCACCAGGGGATAATTGGCAATGTCTGGAGACTTTTTTGGTAGTCATGGGGTGGAGAGGGGTTGCTATTTGGCATTTAGTAGGTAGAGACCAAGGATGCTGCTAGACATACTATAACATCCAGAACAGCCCCTACAACAAAGACAAATCTGGCCACAAATGGTCAGCAATGTTGAAACTGAGAATCCTGGGACTAGATAGATGGGTAAACCGATGGATGAACGGGCCTGGCTGGGACAATGAGCTGCTGAGGCATACGACTCATTAAAATGAACCCAATAAAAGGGTGGTGGTAATGGTTCTTCAATGTTTGGCAGACAGTAACAAGTTCAGTGAATGGTCACTACTCTGTTACTGTTCCCTTGAGGGGCCTGAACTCCTCATCGCCCTTATGTTTGCTCCAGCCGGCAAAGCTGTGGGCTTTAGGCCAGAGGGTCTCTGCTGTCACCCAGAGATGGCACACAGCCACAGTGGGCAGCCCAGCTCTCACCCCTGCGCCCAGGGGGTGGTGGAATGGGGGGAAATGCAGAAGGGCCAAGAAGGAAAAAGGGAAAGGTGGGTGGGAGTGCCTGGGCCGCGGAGTGAAGAGGAAGAGAAAGGAGACACTGCAAGCTTCGGGGTTTCACAATATGACAAAAATACCCAGAAAGGCAGGGGGCGGGGTGGGCCACAGGGAGAAGTTGAAGTTGAGCAATGGCTGTGGTTCTCTTCACAAATTCATGGAAAATCCTCTTTTCACACCCTCTGGTTCAGTTAAATTAGACCCTTAACCACCTCCACTGTGGCCTAGAAAGAGATGCATCCCGCGGACACCACGGCTGGCACTATCTCCTCCTTGTCACTTCCTCCTTCTCCACCCCCCCCCCCTCCCCAGCCAGTTATCCATCCCTGTTTTCCAGGGTGGAAATTCCCACTCTGGTCCCCATAGAGCCCTAAAGCAATTGACAAGATACATACAATATTATCATCATCATCGCTACAATCATCTCATCTCTTAGCAATCAGTATCTGGGAAGAAATCACCTTCTTTACATAGCAGGCCCAGAGACCTTCTAAGATTCTTCAAGCTGAGCCCCAAATTTGGCTCTGAGATTCCTGGTAGTCCAAATGAAATGAGAATGGGGGCCAGTTTCACGAGTTGGATTGCCCATAATCAGAAGCCCACCAGTTCCTCTGAGGATACAGAGCTTCACCAGAAACTGGATCCTGAAATATATTCAGCCCCCAGGTCTTATAGCCAGCACTGGCTGAGGCAGTGACCACCAGAGACAACGGCATCCCAAAATAAATGCAGGAGCAGACTCCTCCTGCTTTTTTTCCAGAAAGCCCCACCATAAAGGAGGAACATAAGAAAGATTTTGTGGCGGCTAAATAACGTGGTCCAAGAGGCGCTTGGCTCCATGAGAGCCCAAGTCGTTTCAGGGATAAGTCTCATCTGGAAGAATGGATGGAATGTGTGGCCTTTAAATAACCCCCATGAACTTTATTTCTCTCAACTGAGCTTTTGATAAAACTGGGGCAGCGGGAGGCAGTTGGAGGTTGTAACCGCTGACAAGGGTCTGGCAGGCAGTGCTCTGGCGCTGGGTGAGGGTGGGGCCCGGCGTCCCTGGCACCTTCAGAGGCATCATTCATGGATTCAGCTGTTCTCGGTCTCCCCAAGGGCCCAGGACACTCAGAGCTTTCTCATTTCGCTCTGACCTAAAGTGGAACTTGCCTGAGAGGCTGGAGGAAGTAGGAAGCAGGGCTCAGAGCAGGGCTAGGGACAGGATTGCTGGCCTGCCCCATAGCCTGGCCTCTCTTTCGGGTTGTTACTAAAAGTAATAATAACCTGCATCCACTGTGGGTCTAAGCATTTTGTCACTACGTCAGTTTAATCTTCACAACCAAGCTCTGATCGTCCTCAGTTTATAGATGAGTAAACTGAGGCTCAGAGGGCATCGGGGCTCTCACAGTGAGCCGAGAGTAGAAGGTATGGTGCCCACTCAAATCTGGCCGATTCCAGAGTTCACACGCGTGTGCCTGCTGCGCCATCACACCCCTCACATAGAAGGAGAGATAAAAACTGTGGGGAAAGTGAAAAGGCAGTTAAGTTGTGGCATCAGAGCACAGGAAACGCGTGACTCTCAGAATGTGATCCCGGAGAAAGCCGGCAGCCGGCAGCCCTGTTTTGAACTGAAGGCCCAGGGGCTCTGAGAAGCCCTCTCAGGGGTCCAGAGCCCAGCTGGGCTATAAACGGCAGTTGCATCCAAGAGTCTGTAAATATCAGGGGCAGGGGGTGTTGTGCGAGGGTTGCTACGGGAAAGTGGGCAAAGGACCCTGAGACCAAGCTCAAGAGGCGCCTCAGCGGCTGCTGGGGATCCCTCCGCCCGCAATGAGGCAGCAGTGCAAGCCCAACACTCCGCTCTGGAGCGCAGGACCAGGCTGGTTTGGGCCGGCGTCCCGCCCGGGGACAGGCGATTCCTGTCGCTTGCTGACCCCAGCAGATGGGCACCTCCGGGACGAAACAGAACCTGTGCAGTTGTCCTCCCTGTAGGTGTCCCAGCGACGCCCTCCTGACTCCTCCGCGCCCCACCTCTTTGACTGTGTACACTGACCTCCTTTAGAAGGTCTCTTTAGAACGGGGATGGGAGTGTCTAGACGACAGGAAAGCTTTCCAGATCAGTGAGCAATATGCTGACAAGCAGGGCCCGGGCTCAGCCCCAGGAAACTGATGACTCAGGAGGACGTGCCTTCTCTCCACAGACGTGTTCATCAGGACCGGCCAGGGCCCTCCCCGTGCCAGGTGTGAGGCTGAAGAGAGGACTTCCACCCAGCCCTTGCCGTCGTGGGGTTTTCTGTCCGGAAAAGGGCACAGAAGTGGACCCAAGTCAGCGTGTCCTCATCAGGAACATTGAGAAAGGAGGGAAGTGAGAAAAGGAGGGATCCAGAAGCTAACCACTTTCCCCCTCCCCCCTTCCCCCACCCTCCAAGCACACTGCTACCACCCTGCTCTCTGGCCTGGATTATTACACTTGGGTCCTGCACGCAGTGAGCTTGCTCCTACCACACGGCCTTTGCACTTGCCGTTCCCTTTGCCCTTCCACAAGCGTCCCCATGAGTCAAGTGTCTTCATGTGTTACCTCAAAGGTGCCTTCTCAGGAGGCTTTCCCTACACTGATACCATCCAATTAAAGGTCACAACAATGCCCCCTCTTCTGCCAGGCCACAGATGCTTCAGTAGGTACAATACATGAAGGCATCGCTCACTGATTCCTCACAGCCTCTTCTCTTGTGGAACTTAGGGTAGATTTCCCATTGGCCTTGGCCCATGAGAGTGTACCAGAAGGACCCTCCCTGCCAAACATCAGCCAATGTACTGGAATCGAGCCCGGCTTCTCCAACCCGGGCTCCAGGACCGGTCCTCTCCCATTCTGGGGAAATTTCTTGCAGGTCTTGGGCATCCTTCCCCTTCCCCATCCCCCACCCTATCAAACAAGTGGTCATTCTGACCTGTTGTAGTAGGATTGGGTATCTGGTCACCAAACTCATCTCCTCTTCCCAGATACCCAGCTGGACTCCAGCTCCAGCTCCCCTGCCGTCAAGCCGGTGGAGCATGAGCAGAGGCAGTCTCTCTCTTCTGGGCTGAGGATGTTAAGAAGCAGACAGGTGTCCCTTCCACCTCTCTTTTCCCTATAGCCATGGCCTCATGATCTAGGAGATGGCAGAGCTGCAAGATGGAAAGAACCTCTGCTGGGAGGAAGGCTGCCTGCCATTCAGGGCACTCATCTTGGACTTTATGTGGATAAAAAATAAACTTGGTGAGGATCCTTCATTTGGGAAGTTGGCTGGCTACTTGGTATTTAACTTCCTGCCTTTTTAAGGACTGGTCAGCCCGCCTCTGTCCCCTCCCCCAACTGCATTTCCCACCTGAACTTTGTGCTCTCTTCCCCACCCCACACTCAGCCTGCGGGGATGACTGAGCAGCTGATGAATGAATCATTGCTTCTCTCTGGATCTGCAAGCTGATACAAAAGGCAGCGTGGCAGAGAGGGAAGGTGCTTCTGACCACCGCTGTCTAAGCTTGGCTCCGGCAGTACAGCAGTATGGGACTTCCCGAGACTCAGCTTCCTCGTCTTTAAAATGGGAACAATAGAATCTGCCCATACCACCACCCAGAGGGAAAGATGGGGGATGGGGGTGGGGGGTGTTGATATGCAGGAGCAGCTTCTCTGAGCCGGACTCTCCAAACATCATCTCAAAGCGCTTAGATAGGGAATTGAGGTACGCAGAGTTTTAGAAGTGCCTACCAAGTTCACCCGGTCAGTAAGTGGCCGCCCCACCCTTGACTTGGTCTTCCCCATCTCTCTCTCACTGAATGGCACCAACCCACACCCAAGAGCTCAACTCAGGGACCTCTGGTTATGCCTAACTCCTTCTTCACCCTCACCTCCTGCACACACTTCAGCACCAAAGCCCAGTTACCTTATCGTATTATAATGAGCAGCTCTCCAGTCTAGCCTTTCCCTGCACCTCTTCTGCCGCCACCCTGGCCCAATCCCCTGCTCGTGTCTCCTGGACCCTGCAATGGCTTCCCTGTTGGCCTCCACGTAGCTCCACCTCCACACAGCAGCCCCGGGGCTGGTCACTGCCAATCTGACCATGTCAACGCCGAGGTTAGGAAGCTCAGTGGCTTCCGGCTGCTCATATGAGGAAGTCTTGCCATGGACTTGCCCAGTGTGAGAGACCCACCTCTTCCCTGCCCCTCCTCTCTCCACTAGAACATCGGTACCATGAATGCCCTCCAATTCCCTCCTTGGTGGGAGCACATGCTGCTCCTTCTGTGAGGAATACCCGTCCTTCCCTTCTTGGCCTGGCTTACTCTTAATCAACCTTCCTATCTCAGTTCTGGTGTCACTCCTCCAAGAACTTTCCCTGACCTTCTTGTCTAGGGGACATCCCTTTATAGCAGTCATCTCTGTTATTATCTTATGCCTATTTGAGTAATTACTTGATGAAGGTCATCTCCCTCCCATGACTTTGGGCTATGCAAGGACAGGAACTGTGACCATGTTGCTTACCATTGAAACCCAGTGTCTGACGGTGTCTGACTCATAGCAGGACTTAAATATTGGCAGAGTAATTGAATCAGTAAATGCGAGAATTAAACTCCAAGTCCGTATGAACCCCTCAGTCATCAATCGTTCTGGGGAATCGATTTGTCTGCTTAGGCTACCTAAGCAGAGGTATCACAGACTAGTAGCTTAAACAGTAGAAGTTTATCTTCTCATAGTTCTGGAGGCTGGAAGTCCAGGATCAGGGTGCTGCCAGTTTGGCTTCTGGTGAGACCTCTTTCCTCAACTTGCAGATGCAACTTCTTGGCCTTTTCTCTGTGCACACGAGGATAGAGATCTCTGGTGTCTCTTCCTATAAAGACATCAGTACTGTCAGATTAGGGCCCAACCCTTATCACCTCATTGAACCTTAATTATTAATTACCTTTTTAAAGGCCCCATCTCCAAATACAGTCACACTGGTTAGGGTTTCAACATGTAAATTTTGGGGAAAAAATTCAGTTCCATAACATTCTGCCTTCTGGCACCCCAAATTCACATCCTTCTCACACACAAAATGCATTCACCCCCATCCCAACAGCCCCAAAAGCCTTAACTCATTCCAGCATCAATTCTAAGTCCAAAGCCTCACTAAATGTCATCTAAATCAGATATGAGTGAGGCTGGAGGTATGATTCATCCTCAGGTAAAATTTCTCTCCAGCTGTGAATCTGTGAAACCAAACAAGTTATGAATTCCAAAACACAATGATGGGGGAATTCCCTAGTGGTCCAGTGGTTAAGACTCTGAGCTTCCAATGCAGGGGGAAGGAGTTTGACCCCTGGTTGGGGAACTAAGATCACACGGACTATCCAGGGCAACCGAAAAAAATTTTTTTCTAAATTTTTAATTGCATTTAAAAAATTAAAATAAGTTGCGTTTAAAAAAACCACACACACAATAGTGAAACAGGTATAGAACAGACATTCTTATCCCAAAAGGGAGAAATTTTTTAAAAAGAAAGGGGTAACAGGTCCCAAGCCAGTCCAAAATTAGCAAGGCAAATTCCAGTTGATCTTAAGTCTCCAGATTGATCCTCTTTAGCTCAATGTCTTACCCTCTGTGCCCACTGGAGCATAACCCCATGACCTAGGCAGTGGTCCTGCCCGCTCCGCTGTGCTAGGTGGCTTGCCCCCGAGGCACTAGCTGAGGGCATCCTGGCCCTCTGAAACCAAGGAAGTGGCCCTGTCCTTTGAAGGGCCTTGCAGTGGGAGCAGCAGCCCTGATCATCTCTGAATCATCTTCATGGTCATTTTCCCCTTTTCTTGAAAGATAGCAATATTGAAGCTGGCTATTCTATTGTCCTGCTCTGTAGATTCCAAAAATCTGACAGCCTTCCTCCACTCTTTTCTCTGTCCCTTTAGTCCCTGCTGGCAGTGATTCTGCAGGTATAATCCCACCTCTATTCCTGGCCTCAGCTGAGATGGCTGATTCAATTCGTGGATAATCTCATTACAGAATGATCATCCATCCACACCCTTGATGTTTTCCTCCAGAACGCTGCTTTCTTATTTTTTGAAATATGATAAGCTGAGAATTTTCTAAATCTTTGAATTCTGGTTCCTTTTGCTTAACCATCTCTCTCCTCTCACATTTTACTATTAGCAGTAAGGAGAAGCCAGGCCACCTTCTCGATACTTTGCTTAGAAATTTTCTCTGCTAAATATCCAAGGTTGTCACACACAATTGTCTACCTTCCACAAGACACTGCAACACAACTGAGACAAGTTCCTTCCTCATCGGTAATGAGGATCACCTTGCTGTCAGCTTCCAGTTCCATGTTCCTCATGAGATCCCATCAGAAGTAGCCTTATTATTCATAGTTCAGCAGCATTCTCTTTCAGATGATGTGTCTATTCTCTACAGCTTTCTCTGTGGCTCTTGACTTTTCTTTCTAAGTCTTCACCAGAATCACCTTTAATGTTCATATTTCCACCAATAGTCCCTTCAGGGCAATCTAGGATTTTTCCAGCTCAAAACTCTTCAAGCCTCTACAGATTACCCAGTTTAAAAGCCACTTCCGGGACTCCCCTAGTGGTCTAGTGGTTAAGAATCTGCCTTCCAATGGAGGGGACGCAGGTTGGGGAACTAAGATCCTGCATGCCATGGGCAACTAAGCCGCAACTGGAGAGAAGTACAGGCACTGCAATGAAAGATCCTTCGTGCTAAAACTAAGACCTGATCAGCCCAAAATTAAATAAATAAATTTTTTTTTTTAGAGATAAGCCACTTCCACATTTTTAAGTATGTGTTACAGCAGCAACCCTATGCTTGGTACCCTAATCTGTATTATTCAGGGATCTCTAAAGAAACAAAATGAATAGGATAAAAAAAAATGAAAAGGGAAATTTATTATAAGGAAATGACTTTTGCAATTATGATGGCTGGAAGTCCAACATCTGCAGAGCCAATGTCCCAGTTCAAGTCCAAAGGCTGGCAGGTGGCTATAGAAACAGGAACAGTCGACGTCTCACTTTGAAAGCTATCAGGCAGGAGAATTGTCTCTTACTCAAGAAAGGGTCAACATTTTGTTCTAGTCTGGCCTTTGGCTGATTGAATGAGGCCCACACAAAGGAGGACAATTTACTTTTATTAGTCTACCAATTTAAATACTAATCTCATTCAAAAATATCTTTGCAGAAACACCCAGAATAGTATTTGACCAATTATCTGGGCACCCCATGGCTTAGTCAAGTTGGTACATAAAATTAACCATCACAGGAATCACATGAGAAAGTATATGTGATCAAAGCTTAATGAGTATCAGGGCAGTGTAAGAAAAGGATCAACCCTAAAGCTGGCACTGTGATTTGCCATCCACTCATTTCTCACACACCTACTATAAATGTCTCAGTTATCTATTGCTATATAACCAGCTATCCCAGAACTTATTAGCTTGCAACAGCAACCGTTTATTCTTTCTCATGAGTTTGTGGATTAGGATTTGGGGCAGAGCTCAGCTGGGTGGTTCTTCTGCTCCAGACAACATTAGCTGTGCCACTCATTCAGTTGGGCTAGGCTAGAAAGTCCAAGAAGACTCGACTGAACTATTTGGTACCTCATGAGCATTCATCTCCAAGTGTTGTCTCATCAGTCTCTAGACTGTCATGTTTTTTTTTTTTTTTTTTTTACAGCTTATGGCTTGCTTCCCCAAGAGCATTTCAAGAGGAGAAGCAAGCACTTGTCAGGTCAATGCTTGAATCATGCTTCTGATGGCACATTGTCCAGAGCCAGTCACATGCCCAAACCCACCTGTGGGAGAGGACTATACAGGGGCATGAAGACCAGACTATGCATGATTCCTTGGGTCACACAGTCTCCAATGTAACAGGCAACCAACATATGAGGGACACCAGTCCTGATTCTTGTCCTCAAGGATCTTACAGTCCAGCACAGCATTTCCGAGTAGTACTGGGCCACAGCATCTCAACACCATTCATGCAAACACAAGCCCCAATGTGAATTCTTGCCACCTTTGGATAAAGCATCTCATTTTGTAAAAGCAGATTATCATAGAATATTAAGTGTATGCACATATTTGTCACTTTCCATACATATATTTTTTTCAAAATAATTTTAAAGGAAAATATCGCTAGTTTTGTTATTTGTGGGAGTATATAGTTGACCCATGAACAACATGAGTTCTAACTGTGTGGGTCCACTTACACTCTGATTTTTTCCTGAGTAAATGATACAGTACTACACAATTATCGGTTGACTGAATTGAAGATGCACAACCACCAAAACAGAGGGTCAGCTATAAGCTATACACATAGTTTTGACAGTGTGAGTGTTGGCACTGTTAATCCTGCATGTTGTTCAAGGGTCAACTGTATTTTATTACATTCCACAACATGCTCGGAAGACAGTTTGGGAAATGCCAGCCTAGTGAACCCTAGTAGGGATAGAAAGTTTGGTGGAAAAGGCTTTTTGACTCCCAGGGTCACAGACACAGGTGGCCCATGGTGTATGAGAGACATCTCGTCCCACTAGGTTGGAAGGCCCAGGGTGTCTGTGGGACTCTCTGTTTTGTCTCCATGAGTGATGGTCCATGAGGTCAGGGAGCATCATTCCTACACCACTGGAGGAGAGGCTGAGACAGCACACGGCAGGAGACCTTGACACATCATTTGTGTCACCTGCGCCCCCTCTGTACCTGGCACATGGTCACACACTGAACACCACCCACCCCACCACATCTGACCCCACTTCAGAATGACTGAGAAGAATAGGAGGCGCTTTTCAAAGGCTTGAAATTTTCCTGCCAAAGCCCAGACTCCAAAGCACTGCAGAAAGAGAGGCCTCAGCTCTAAGCAAGAGTAAGCAGGGCCATTGGCCAGCCAGCCAAGGTTACTCAGAGTAGTATTATCTACAGGATGGTCTACAGCAGAATCTCCAGTGGCAACCAGGAGATCCAATGCATTAGCCTAGAAGAGGGCCCAGGAATCTGCATTCCTAGCCTCCACCATGGGTCCCAGGGTGCTAGTCCCTTCCCAGGGTCTCCATGTGGTTGTTTTGGAAAGGTCCCAGTGGGGTGGGGGTAGCAGAGG